ATGCCAGCTGAAGGAGTTCTCTAATGACACTGCAGTTGTTGGGTGTATTATGAGGTGCAGAAGTCAGAGTTCAGGCAGCTGGTAAGGAACTTTGTTGAATAGTCTGGAAGAAATCTCCTCTTTCTAAATATAAGTCAAAACAGATGGTGGCTGACATCCATAGAAAAATAAACTGCAATTAGGCCCATCAACATCAGGGGTGAATTTCTGGAAACGGTGGACAACAACAGATACTTGGGTGTTCACCTGAATGACAGACTGGACTGGAGGACCAACAGTGATTCTGTGTACAAGAAGGGTGTTAAAGTTGCTGACCTCTAGGTGCTCACCTCATGTGAGAGAGCTCTTTCTCATCCTATGTTTCAGGTCTGCCTTATTACCACAGCTGAGATGTGCCATCTCAAAATGCCACATCCTTTATTTCCCTAGGCCGTGCAATGATTTAGTCTTTAACTATGTAAATTTGTGCATCTTGGTGGGACTTTTTTTGAGTAAGTGTATATTTTTACAAAGGCAAGCATCACTCCCATGCTTTCAAGCAGTTTGTGTCACCACTGGTCTAGTCCAATCACCTTCTCCCGGCCTTTTAAACTATTACAGTGAAACAACATCAAACAAGAAAATACAAATTGAAATATGTAAAACAAAAAGAAAAAAAATCTGAATCCAGGTAACAGTTTAAGCCCATCTTTGTATGATCAGTGCAAATGTTTACTGTGTTTCTGTCACTCATTTTCTCACCTTCCCAGGTGGTTGTGTTTTATGGTGCTGTTCTCGTTCTCTTTTGCTTTCTCGCTAATCAAAATCAGAATACTTTATTAATCCCTAAGTATATTATGTAGGTTACAGTTGCTCCAATACAGTAACAGAAACAACAAACAACACTATTTAACAATACAATATGTTACAGATTTACAGATTTTAAGAAATAGCACAATATATACAAATCACTGAATAAATCTCAAGGATTGACAGAGGTGATTATAAAAAAAAGTGAATATTGACAGCAACATTACTGAGTAGAAAAGAGCGTGTGCAAAAAAGGCTGTAACTATTGCAGTGTTTACAGTGTATATAGTGTATTAGATGGAGGAGTTGTACAGGGAGATGGCCATGGGCAAGAAGGATTTCCTGTGTTGTTCAGTGGTGCTTTTTGGTAATCTCAGTCTCTCACTGAACGTGCTCCTGTAGCTTTTACAGCTGTGGCTCCAGCAAATATCAGCTGATACTAGAAAGTAATATTAAATAAATTCTAACAACAGCTTATCAAGGTTAAACGTGCTGCTGTTGTTTAGCGCGACATCTGCTGGTTTCCTCTTTCTGCGGCAAAGTGATAAACAAACAAGAGAGAAAAGTCAATCATCTGATCATTGAACGGTTTCATGAGAGATACTTCATGTATCAAGAAGTATCAACAGGAGAGGGAGGGTGAGAGAATGAGAGAAGAAGAAGGGGCAGCTGACAGCGTAAAGATGCAGAATAACTCCAGCTTTGTGTCTTTCTTTTTTTTTTTTTATTCTAGCTAAACTACTGGACAAGTTGTGTTTCTTTTCACCTCAATACCATTTTCTTTGTTTGTCTGTGATAAGATTGCTTTCAGAGCTCTTGCCCAAGCAATGGGGAGGGTGCAGCCAACCACCTCGGCTGTAACTGGTCCAGCCCAGAGTCTATCATGACAAATTGGCCAATCCACCACCTTTCGTTGTTTATACCGTTACCGAAAAACAAAACAAAAAAACATTGGCTCATAAAAACAAAAAAATACCATCAGTCCACTGGGCAAATGCCTGGTATGCCCGATGGCAAGTCCAGCTTAGCCTTGGCCTAATGTTAATGGCTCCACAATGTAATGTTTTTTCTGTTTTCCTAAGAAACAAGTGATTCCTGTTTTTATCCTGGTTCACAGCACAAATTCCTAACATGTGGAGCTGTCTGTTGTGATGACCTTTAGTTAATAAGGGAACAACACAAGTACTTTTGTTACACTTGCTGCGGGGCAGGTTGTTACCCCCTCTCTCAGCCACTCCCATCTGCCCTGCACAAAACCAGCTCTTCCTGCCTTTCTCTCTCAGTTCGCCACTCAGTTCCAGTTTGTTTTTAACCGTATCTGTCCTCGGATACAGTGTTTTTGTGGTGTTGGGTTTTTTTGCAATTTGACTTCTTTTTTCCCCACCTGTTTGTGTCTCACTGCTTACTTCGCATCTCCCTCACCAGTCTTTTCCTGCATTACTTTCAACAAAAGGTGAGCAGTTTGAACTTTAAATTTAATGTTAGCCTCTCTGATTATATATGCATTGAGGCAGAAGGTGATCACGAAGGTCTAATCTGTAAAGCAGTACTGTCTGATTAAATATTACGTTTTTCAGTTTCATTTCTTGATCATGGCCAATTTCATAAGAAACAAACTGCTTGAATGGGGGCTAAGAGAGTTGGAGGAACGATTTGAAGGTAAATTATAATAACTAATTCTTCATAAACAAAGATTTTAATATCTCTGAAACTAAAAATCTCTTGATATGGTTGTGCTGTACAACACTAATATTTTGTATTTTACGCTGTGTTTAAAGAGAGCTGTAGCCACTTCTACACCGTCATCACAGAAAATGTATTACAAAAAAGGCTCAATGGCATTTAAAATAAATAACCATGCCTATTTCACTTTATTTCATGAAGTGGAAATTCACTTTTGAAATTTGAAATTGTGTGCATCTCTATAACTGAGATTTAATATTTAATTACAGCTAACAAAGTTACAGAGGAAAGCCTTTTCTGTCTTACCAATGAAGACATAACTGAGTTAATCCCTGAAGTTGGTCTAAGGTCAAGATTCAGAAAGAGACTTGAGGAGTTAAAGGTAATTAAAAAAACAAAAAAAAATCTGCTTATGTAATTTTACATTTGGTCTTAAAAAATCTCACATATAAATATGGAGGAGCAGAAGAGTCACATGCATCAACATAAAGCGTTTTGTGGTTTAATAATAAATTGTGCAACAAAATAAACATTGGTCAATTTATTTCCAAATTATTTTTTATTCTTTATGTCTTTGGGTACCAACTATAATAAATGGGAATTTCTGAAATTAAAAAAAGTCTATTTTAAATATTGTTAACTAAAAAAATGTTTAAAGTAAAAAAAACAAAGAAAGCTTTATTGTTACAAGAAATTATGTGATCTGTGATTCGTGTGAAATTCGGTGATAAAATCGTATTAAATTATCAAGATAAAGACAGTTTACAATCCAAATTAGATTATATGTATGCAAAGAAAGCAAGAAGTGCTTTTGTTAGATGCCATGAACACTGCACTGGTAATCTGATATTTCTCGACCTGATCCAGAGCAAGGTGGATTAAAGAGGGGGGAAACACTTCTTATTTTAGCAGCTTATACAAGAAAAGAAAAAAGTGAAGCGATTGCGTTCTTACTGATAAAAGACGTTGAATGCAAAGATGCTAAAACCAGTATTAAAGAAACTGTTATAAGCTTAACACATGACCTTTATTCGTCTGCATGTTGTCAGGCCAACTCAGATAGAAGTCTGGAAAAAATAAAGACTTCATATCTAAAATTGATGATCTATTTAAAAGATTTTTTGTCTCAATTCTTTTAACTCAGAGTTTTAAAAATCAACGTGGTAACATCTCTACTGATGTGTTTACAGACAGCATTTTAAACATGTTTTAAAGGTTGTAGGTTGCTCTAAGAGGGCTCAGTGCTGATTCTTAC